GTACAACATTTGGACAACTCATTATGTGTTGTTGCAATCGGTCCGATGGAAGTGGTAGTTTTAGAATTGGTGCCAAATACCCGAAAATTAAGGCATCAATAGAATTTGGTCTGAAAAAAAAAGATAAATGGAGAATAATATTAAACGCACATAATTTTTCAAATAAAAATCAAAATATTATATAATTAAACATGGTAGATTATTACATACTTGTCACCGTAGAAGTACTTTTTGTTATCAAGTCTGTTTTCTAAAAAATTGATCGTATTTACGGCATCATGAATAATTTGCGTTTCATTGCGACCGCAAGCTGAAATGTAGGCCTGAGCCCGTCTGCGACGTTTTTCCAAGTAATATAAATTATAGCCAAACGGCAATTGCTTTGAATACCAGTGCTGCGTTATTGCCGAGTAATTATAAGGATCAAGCCAAAGAAATTGCAACTGAAATGGAGAATTTAAATTTCAAATTTTAAAGGGAAAAAAATTCAAAAACTTTCCAGCACACCACTAACACTTGCTCTTGACATCAAGAGAACTCTTCAAATAATTTTAATTTTGAATAATTAAATTAACTGAAATCAGTTGCAAAAAAAAAACAATGTATTAAACAAATAAATATGATAAATATTAAATTACGAAATGATTCTCACTTCAGCGGGATAGAAATTTCGATGCATCAAACTTGAATATGCTTCAAATTCGCACTTCTCACTCGCCCTTAGCTCGCTGTCCAACACAACTTCCTCAAATAATAATGATTAATTTCCTGCAAATAAAATTTTTGCAATTTGTTCGCTTTTTAAATTAGAAATGCAACCTTTTAATCATTTCAATTTCCATGTATTGTCAACACAAACAGAAGCACTGCATTTCTTTTGTAGTAACTTTATTTCTATCAACTGTATCCCTCAGGAAGGGTACTATGTGTGTGTGTGTGTGTGTGTGTCTGTCTGTCTGTCTGTCTGTCTGTCTGTGTCTCTGTGTATGTACTGATCCATCCACTGTGCCCGTATGTTTGTGCGTTTGTGGTGTATGGCATATGTATGTTTCTGTATGTATATATATGTGTGTGTGTGTGTGTGTGTGTGTGTGTGTGTGTGTGTGTGTGTGTGTGTGTGCCTGTATGTGTGCGTGATGTTTCACTCGATTCCTTATTTTCCCACCAACATGTACCATTAAATCCCATAACGAATGTCTCTAAATGATTATGCACAACTATCCAACATTCCACGCCCACGCAGTGTTATTTTCGTTTTTTTTTATTGGAACGTATAGCAGAATACAATGGAACATGAATTACGAGGCTTTGCATCTGAAATACAGAAGAAGATATGCAACATAGCTAATTGCTAACAATAAACGATTCAGTACTAAACTACTATTAGCCTCATACCTGGCCATTTTTTCGTAACATGTCAGCAAATTTGTCGAAGTCATAAATTTTTTCGATCATATTACTCCGATCAACAAACATCGGATATTCACCTGAAATAATATTCAGCTAGTCGCAAGTGAAATCCAAATCAAACTGGATCTTTTTCGAAATGAATGGAAAATTAATTAGTAAAATTTAACCCACCATTCTGACTTTTCCATGGTGACCAACCGGGAATGACTGATACCGGTGCTGCGCAAAATTTAGCACATGCCTGTTAAAATTATCAGTATTGTTCAATTTTCCTCTGCTTTTTTTGTCCAAAAAGTAAACAGCTCCGAGGCGAAAAGGAAAGCAAAAATCTCAAAACTTCAACATTATGAATTTGAATTCAAGCTTTCAAGTTTCAGATTAGATAGCTAACTTCTAAGAGAACATATAGCTTCAATACCATGAATTGAAGACAGCGAGAATCTACTGAAGGTAATCCGAAATCAGATGGCCATATATACAATTCCATTTCACTTCCGCAAAATTAATTTCCACTTTTGGAAGAAATAGTCTGAAGGAAAGAGAAAATGCTCAACGTCTTTTTTTTATTATTATCACTTTTTAATTGAAATTTAGCTTGAACTTTATAAATTTAATCAAACTTTGCCTTTCAGTAAATTAAATGTTTCTAAAATGTTGTATTTCAATTTTATCAAATATTTTAATTTTCAAAAATCAAATGGCGCATTTCAATAACATTTCGCTTTTACAGATTTCAACGAAAATGAATAGGAACAAAAAAAAGATATCGAGATAGAGTAGAGATCAACAGAGAAACAAGGAGAGAGAGAAGAAATCTTTTGTAGAGAGAGAAATTACAATATGAAGATATAACTGTTCAGAAATGAACGAGATATCGTTGATAAGAGGTTGAGAAATCATCGAATAAAATAACACACGTATATATACAATCCTTGTGAATCCCGAGATATCTCGAGAATGCAGAAATACAGCCATCGAACCGGTAAATACTTTTTTGTTTTTGTTGACAGCTTAAACAATCCATAATGGGACTAAGTTCGACTTGCGAAAGATTTTAAGATAGCGCACTATAATTTTTTTTTTCTTTTCATGTCATATTTTGTGTTTGTTAAATTTTTCTCGGGCTATAATTGACGTAAAATAAATGAAATAAAAGTGGAACACATAATATGAGATGATTATATAAATGAAGCAATATGCGAAACGGTATGTCGCACGTATATTTTATTATTTGAGAATTATTCTACAAAGAATCACTTAATACAAGTAATTCTCCACAAATTCAAACATTTTGATCCAAATTGAAGGTAATATTCCGATAACGACAATGTACAAATGGAATAACATAAGGGTAAATATACTTGTAATACGTATACGTAATATGCATTTATGATATAAAGAAATAATTTAATAGAAATATTATTTAAGCTATAGATAGTTATTGATAATTCATTCTATAAATAATGAAGGAAGCCGAAATGCAATCTATGAGAATAGGTCAAAATGTTTCGAAAGTAATCTTTACTTTTCCATCATACCTTCATTGCTATTTATCAAGTAAACGCATACTTTCTTTGTGCTCCCATTCTTTTCCATCCCTTCACAATTGACATTCCCGCTTTTCTTCCAAATTACAATTTTTTTTAGTATCTTTTCTTTGCCATGTTATTTATACTTTACTCATTAATAATGATTTCATTTTCATTATTGGAAGTGCAAATCTCTTCTTGTTTAATGCTCGAATGATGAATGATATTTTTAAGTAAAATTCCCAATAAATCAATTTTCTTAGACATACAAGTCATTTATCTTATCTATCATATTTCTTTAGTGCTACGAAAAGCTTTAAATTTCTTATGTCAAATAGAATAAGCTTAGTTTTTTGGCTTCACCGAAAACTAAACTCTCTTTTAATTTGTTTTCTGAAATATCATGGTCTTTAAGCGTTAATTAATTAATATATCGTTGATATTTTTCGGCAAACTGTTCGGCTTATTGAATACTTTTTCCTTCAGTATGCAGTTACCATTGCGTTTATTTTTAGCATCGTATCTTCATCGTCCATAATTGTTATCATTTTATGTGTAACTGTATGAACTGTTAAATTTCTCTATATGATTATGCTAATGATATACACAAGTGAGTACGCGAACTATTACGACCATGCATGAGCTCAGTGAGTTGCTTGGAAATGGGATTTGCTTTAGAAGTTAATTAAAATTAATAAAAATGAGATATATTTTTAGAAAATTTATGTTACAACTTTTCTTTCAGCCGTGGAGATATGGAAAGTAAAATGGATGTAACGTTTGATGATGATGAGGAAGGTGAATTTATTAATTGGAAAGTCACCGATGGCGCTTACGTATCCACTGATACCATTCTTCTCATCTATAGCAGCAGCAAAAGTGGTGAGAAAAAATCGTTAAAAACTTCTGTATCCGGTGTAGTTACTATTGATACTACCATTAAAAAAGGGAAAGTAAGTATGTTTGATATTGATGTTTGTTTAGAATTTCTCCTTTACATATATTAAGCGTGTTTCATTCATTAAAGTTAACAGATAAAAAGCACTTAATATCGCTTACATATGTAATTTCTAACTTTGTTACGAATTAAATGGTAGAGCAGGGTTGAACTTTTTAAATTTCAATCTAATTTAATTGAGAAAGTGTCAAAATTACATTGAAGTGTTACGTTCTATTTTGAGAAATTACGTTCTGTTTTGCAAATTTCTGTTTTTGCAGAAATTAAAAAAGGATATGATCGTTGCAAGTTTACGACCTTGTACTCATGCGATTGTTATCAAAGATATGTGTGCATCGTGTGGTAGAGATTTAAGAGGGTTGGTTTATACTTTTATTAGCTAACATTTCCTTGTGCTTTTTTGAAGTATTTTAATATATTGTTGCTGACTTCATGTGATGAATCATATGTATAGTATTTGTTGAAGATTAGGTGAAAAACTTAAGATTTGAAAGCGTTTTTACAGTAAACCAGGAACTTCTGGAGATTTGATGGAAGCCAGTACTGCGAACGTATCAATGATACACCATGTTCCTGAATTGATTGTCTCTGATGAGGTTCATTATAACTTTCTCATACACTAAACTGTAAAAAAGTCACTCAGATCTGTTTTTTGACAAGATGTTATACTTGACCACAATTTTAGTTGGCTCGAAAGATAGGCAATCGAGACCGCGAACTGCTTTTAAAAGCACAAAAGTTGGTGTTGTTGGTTGATTTGGATCAAACACTCATACATACAACCAATCACACTTTTAAAGTGGATAAAGATACGGTAATCAATTCAAAATTTGGAATTGTATTAGTTTTCAATTTTAACATTCGGTTTTTGCCACATAGCCAGTTAGATTTCAAATTAATTACAAAAAACAAAATTCAATTTTATGCTAATTAGCTGAAAGGAAGTTAGTTTTCAGGTAGAGAAATTGAGCTATTTTTTTTCAATGTCCACACTGCGTTACTGTTGAAGTAAGTACTTCTACCGAGTTTTTCTTTTCAGGACGTTTTACATTATAAATTGAAAGGAACTAATTTCTACACGAAAATTCGTCCATATGCACGCGAATTTTTGCGACGAATGGCTGAACTATATGAAATGCATATAATTAGTTATGGAGAAAGACAGTATGCACATCGTATCGCTGAGTTTTTAGATCCTGATAAGATTTATTTCGGCCATAGTTAGTTATTTGTGCTTTTATTTTTAGGTAATAAATATTGAAATATTATATGGACTGTATTGATTTATTTGATATTTCTGGAAAGACCCTTTAATAGAACCGAAAAAATGATATAATATATTTCAATATAAAATTAGGCTTTGTATCTCAGGCTATCCCATTTTTTGTTAACTTCACACTATTATCCATAAAGGTTTAATAGTAGTTATGCATGAATTTTATTTATTTCATTCTCGAAAAGGTAGTTCTGTGCTCGGCTCAGAAATTTTGGATGCCAAGAAGCAATGTAGAAATTTATCTATAAATCATAATATAAAATAATATTTTAGGGATATTGTCACGCGATGAATTATTTTGTGCGATGTATAAAACAAGAAATATGCAAGCATTATTTCCATGTGGTGATCATATGATTGTGATGATTGATGATAGGCCTGATGTTTGGCAATACTCAGATGCCCTTATTCAGGTAGTTGAGAACTGGATAAACTTCGTAATGTAATATTGTCATAAATGCATCGATGTTAGCATGAATGCATAAGTTTAAGAACTTAATTTGTAGGTAAAACCATATCGATTCTTTAAAGAAATTGGTGATGTCAATGCGCCGAGATGTGAAAAAGGTGAAAGTATTCATTCTAGCAGTTATGCGGAACAGGATATGGAATCCGAAGATGACGAATCATTGGAATATGTTGCAGTGGTCCTTACTAAAATACACAGGGCTTTTTATGAACTGTTTGACGATGCAAAAGTAAATCGTTTTCCGGTACGTTCGACAAATTCTCTAGTTGTTTTGGAGCAAAATATTCAGAGTCTTTTCTATATTTCTTTTCTATATTTTGATTTTATTCATTAATAAAATTTGTTGATAAGCGAATAAAGATAAAAATCTTTCGGCCGTTCAATTTAAAAAGCCGGAACGTATTTCTTATTTTGCTATAATGTATTGCGCTATATGAAATTTTGTTACTTATCTTCGAGAATAAGTACTGCATGACTGTTTGATGGTACTTCATGTCAATGGAATATCATTAAACAGTAGTGAAATTTATTAAGTTATGACAGTTAAGTGAACTGTTCGGAATTGTTTATACCAATGTTTTCATAATATTTTTTACAAACATCTATGCTGAATGTTTTATTGGACATTTGTAACATGAAATTTTGAATTTGAGGACTTGAAAGGAATAATATCATATTTTCGAAAACAAGTGTTGCGTGATTGTTCGGTAGTATTTAGTGGTATTGTACCCGTCGGTGTTGATATTAAGAAAACAGAAGCATACCGATTATGTGTGCAATTTGGTGCAGTTGTTACCGATAATGTGAGTAATTCCACAACTCACGTGATTGCTGCACGGTGGGGCACAACGTTAGTGCAGTTTTTAGTTGAATTCTACTTTCGTTTATTTTATTTTTGTTTTTCCTGAAGAAATGTAAGTATATAATGCTTGAATAAGTAAGCTTTCAAATTTTACATTGAAAAAAAAGACTTTATGAGTGCTTTGTAATTTTGAACTATGGTCAATCAACATTATGCTTTCCAAAAGCATATCCGATGTCTGCATCTCTGCTACGATGGACTTGTGATTGCATAAATGGCATAAATGATTCAATTTTGGACTTTTCAGAATTTCACGATTGTCAGCCATTAAATTATGTTGCCTCTTTCATGTTAAGTTGTAGATTATTTTGGTCAAAATGGTAACGCTGAACATAATGTTTTATTTCTACCACTCATTACTATTTTTGCTATCTGATATTTAGATTCGATTTCGCCAAGAGCTAATACTAGGAATAATAATATTTCATAGCTTTTTGCGAATTGCTTGCAAATTTCCAAATTTTAATCCTTATTTCCTTTACAATTTTCAAGTTGCTCGCATTTAGATGAAAATATTTTTAATAGGTGTACGCATACGCATTTTTTAGGAAAGTTCATGAGGCGCAAAAACTACCAAATATATCTATAGTAAATCCTAAATGGTTATTTGCCTGTGTCGAAAGATGGGAAAAGGTACCGTTCAGTTTATTCAAAAAAAGTTTAAATATAAATCTGCATATTTTTTAAATACGTGAATTTTATATTTAAATTCAGTTATCGTTTCGACAAACATTTAGTAAAATATTGGTATTATTGGAGGAGTAATTCAGTACATATTGTCGTTATCATGAAAAAAAACGATGATTTTGTTTGTTTTTATCAGTCACACTGTTATTTTGTATAGATTAAAAAAATTGAATTTCATTTATTTAGGCTATTATACCTATCATTTTTAGGCGGATGAAAAAGAATTCGAATTGTTGAAGGATGAAGCACGAGGTGCGGAAAGACTTCACGGTGGGACTATTGTCGTTGATGAAATCTCAAGGCTACCTATACTGGGCAAAGAAGCCTTGTCGCGTATGACTGATGAAGTAGGCTTTTTGTTCTATTTTTTTTTCAACGACCTAAATTTAGCGATTTGAAATTTGCATTTGTTTTCAATTATTGTTACTCGTCTTTTAAAGAGTAATTCATCTGACATTTTAGGTTGATGAGGCATTACTGGAGGATATGTCCGACAATGATGATGAAAATCTAGAAGAAAAATCACTGACGAGTTCATCCTCAAGAGAAGAGGGACCTGTGAAACGGAGATATGAAAAAAACGATGATGAAAGTAGTGCCTCATCTAGCAAGAAACAGGCTTTGGAAAAGGAAGAAGAGAATGAATTCGACAAATCATCGTCTTCCATTGAATCACAATCATGTTCCGGTGAGTCAGAATCAGATGATGACGATATGGCAGCTGATGTTGAGCGGCAGTTTTTTGCAATGTAACTATTTCCTTTTATTCAGTACTTCAGGTCTTCTAATTGTCAACTCTTAGGTTGTTTCTTTTCCTTTATGCTACCTCAGGTATTTACTCATTGTTATTACTTTTTATTGACCATTTCCTAATGAATTTAATTATTTATGAATCAAATTTGCACTTCTGTTTTTAATTATTATAAGTATCTTAGAGTTGATAGACTTTGAATAAAAGAGATAAAAAACAGAAAAGTATGTTCGTCGAACTAAAACATATTCCGACAACAATTGAATTTGCTGCTATTTCAGACCTTTTTTATGCCAGCATTTTTGTACATTATTATTCTACTATGTTTTATTTTTCAGACGCTTCTCATCATAATTAGATTTGGTTTTTTATATTGTTCTTTTTATTATTTTTATCTCTTCGTCAGGGTTTTCATTGTAAATTTGTTCTATACCATGAAATATATTTTAATAGAATTTTTCGCAGATTCATGAACATAGAATTTTTCGCAGATTCACTTTATTACTGGATAGATTTGATTTATTTTTGTTAAGGAAAGGAGTGAAATATTCCCGGATGAATTGATACTCAACTATTCCAATTGAATTTAGTCAAAATAGAAAGCAAGAAAACTAAGCAAAATGTGGAAAAGGAAAAGGAAAATTCGGATAAACCCGCCCAGTTGCTAAAAGTTCTCTGTTTTGCAGATTTGAACATGATATTCCGTCTTATTTTAAAAGCATTTTTCTTCACTCTTTGTGATCATCCATCTATTCTTCCAGAATGAAAAATTTCTCTCTACGGGTTTTGCTGTTATTTGTACATAAATAAAATGATTTATTTGAGACAGAAAGTTTGATGAATAATGCTGGTTTAATTAGCCTCACAGCTTATTTCTCATTTCTTTTTTTTTTCATTTTAAGAGTTACAATGTAACTTATTTTATAAGAGTTTTTGTCATCTTTTAATTTATTTTATAACGTTGGCCCAAAAATATTGACCATTTTTTTTCGGTCAATAATTCAATATTGTCAGTGGGACAAAAAAAAGAATTATCAATGATGATTAAAAAGCCGGAAAAATGTTTCAAATAGGTGAGATTTGGAAAGGATATACATAAAAATGAATGCACTTGTTATGATAGTAGCGATGTGTGATAACATTTGTCCTATTTTATGATTTTGAAGTTTTCCTATTGATATTCTTTGATCCATAATTCTCTCAGTAACTGAATATTAATCAAGATTTGTCAATGGATTCGTCATACCTATTCAAATTAAAGATTATTGAGATACTGATTTTAAATTTGAGTTGTCCGATTGATTTGGAAAGGAAATGGCTAGAGGATATCGGGTGACATTAATATTATAACAGGATTATATGTAATGATCTCAATCTTAGGTAAATTCAGTTTTTTATCTTATTTTACATTTATCATTATTTTAAAAAATAATTTGTAGCAGGAATAAAATTCAGTTATGTCAGATTTTTAGATTGCACATATTTTGATTGGTAAAGTTTGAAGGAGTGGTTGATTAGTTTTGGTTTCAGAAATTGGACCTAATCTGACTCAGAAAGAATTTGAATGAGTACGTTCACTATTTTGCAAGATCTCAAGAATTTTACTATTCTAAGAAGCTCACCGACATGTTCTTTCCAATTGTTGGATAAAAATGAGAGGGAATGTTAACTTATATTATTTATGTAGTGAATTCAGTGAAATTTTTATCTAATAAAGAATATCTGTTATATATATTCTAGAGAAAAAATCTGTAGATTTTGAGAGAATTGATGTAATTTCGTTTTATTTTATCTATGAAAGTGGATGATGTAATCCTTTTTGACTGAGGTAAGTTTTGGGAATACTCAGATATCCTTATTCATAGTGATATACAACAACAATGAGAAATCCAATGCTTTAATAAGACTTAAACTTATAGATGCTGTATTAGAATTAGGTAAGATTAAGACTGAGGCGCGTGACCTTTGTATCAGAAAGCTGAATTTACTATGATTAATGATTTCCTTAACAAATGCAACCCTCCTACAACATTAGTATGGGTGATATGTAAAGCGGTCTTTTCAACGATTGTGACAAGTGGGAGTGGGACAGGAGGGGAGAGGTTGGGTCAGTAGGGTAGGGAAGTGAAAGATTGGTTCAGTTCCGATATCAAATCACAGATTTGTTTGGTGGAATGAAATTTCTTTGAAATGATTGATTGTAATTTTTCATCATTTCATTCGGTATAGTTAACGAAGATATTATGCAAATTTTACACAGCTGTAATTTGAATCAAAAAGATTTTTGTATATGAAAAAAAATTTTTTTTTAATTCTTACTTTTCATTGCATATTCTGTGAGAGAAACGAACATTTGTTTTTATTTGCAGTGTGAATATTTTCTCCAATACTTGAAAGGAATTTTTTATTATAAACCCAACAAGAGAAATCTTATCATCTATTTTCAATCCTATGAATTTTCATGTTTTAGTTTCATTTGATGCTTGCTAAAATGCGTTGTTGTCATTTTAGCGCACCGAAAAAGCAGGGGTGAAAGAGAATAAATTGATGTGTTCTAGTGCTAGTGAAACGTAAAATTGTTTAGCAGAATAAGATCGTTCATTCAGCGCAGTATCTTTATCATCTTCTTTTGGTGACTTTAACCGGTTGGCTTTCTTTTATAAATTCCCAAGTTATTGAATAAATTTCCGAAATAACAATTTGGGAATAATTGATGGTAAAGTTTTCTCTTTCTCTAAAGTGTTAACACTACATTATTTTGAAATTTCTTCCTTTCGTACTTTTGGGCTACTGATGCTCTATTGGTGTGTCTTCACGAGAACAATGTATTTCATTGCGCTTTAAGTAACGATTAATGAACAAGATCGGCTAGTGATAGGCTCTTAATCGAAATACTAATGCAATATAGAAAATGTTTTAAGCGAGTAATAGGAGTGAAGGTATGATTTTTTCAAAATTATTAATAGTATGGAGAAAATAATGTTATTTTCTTTGTCTGAGTGTTTTTTTAAATACGCTCATTATTATGTCTCAATAATTATTTTACATATCTTTGGTAGAATGATTGGAGATTATATGTTAGAACATATGATGTGAGAACATGTTATGGATTATATGATATGAAATGATTCGTGCTACATCGATGTTATCCATATGGAACAGTGATTAACACTCTGAAATGAATTGGAGAAGTAGGCCTTCATGAATTTTGTCTCAAAGATGTATTTATTTTTCCTTTAAATTATGTGTTATTTTCAAATTTCACGACATTTTTTTCTCCTTTTTTGTATGTTTCCATTTATTCTTTTGGGATTATCTAATTAGATTACTGTTGAATCCAGTTTGATGGGAAGTTGTTTGTGAACTGTTATCATTCTATACATTGCTTACAGTGCGTTTCTTAGCATTTGTATTTTCGTATTCTAATTTCATGCAACTTCTCATTTTTCTTTAATTTCAGGAAAAGACAATGGATTCAAATAGTATTGAAGGTAGCACATTGGTATCAACCATTGCAAGTAATATCCAGCGATTAAGCCAATATGGTTTATTCTTTTTCCTTTCCGAATTACTTCTTACTAATTATCATTTCAGGAAAATTCCAAATATGTCTTATCTGATTTAATTAAAATTTGCATCGTTGGTTTTGATTCACTTTTGTATTTATCACATAATTATACGCTAGTATAGTATTATTCTTTATTCGACATTGCTTTCATAATGTATTATTTATCATAAGCCTTTCGTGTTAATAAAGAATAGTGGTACTTTTATGTATTAAAATGTAGAGATTTTAAGAGGTTTTATTTCTTGTTTGTTACTCTTGAAATGGTTGCCATCGAATTTTAAGACATCGTTACCGATTTAACATTGTGGAATACATATGTTAAATACATTTTGCGATTCCTGATAGAAGGCTTAGCATGATTGTTTTCTGAACCTGTATAGCAAAAGTCATATTCTATAAGTTGACTTACCCTGATTTGATTACCTTTTACAAATTTAATAAAAAATCGAGTGAATAAATTTAATAGAAAAAATGGAATGAATAATTTAAGGAAAAGATTTAAGTTTGATATCAATATAATGTTAAGTTAAAAAGTTTCAAAATCCTTCAAGTCATTTAGATTGTATTGATCGAATTTTAGTGCAACAATTGGAGGTATTGGGTGGGAAAATAGGAAGCAGCGATGATGGGGAACATTTGCGTGATCAGGTAGCAGAAGTAACATCATCAGCTAATACGTTAAGCAAAGAAACGAACACTTTGATGAAACGTTTGGTGGAATTATCAAATGATCAGGTTTCATCTATGATTGATTTTATAATTGCAAAATTCAGCAAGATTCTTGCTTCACTAATAAAATCAGTTTGTAATCCTCTCAAATTTTTTTTTAGCTTTTTTTCCAGTGTTCTATCATTTTTTTAGAGGTATGCATCGGCAATGAAAGTGCATCGTGAACGACTTATGGGTGATTTAATTGGTGTTTTAAATCGTTTACAAGTAGCCCAAAGGAATGCGGTTGCGAAAGAAAAGGAGTCAATGAAAGCAGTAGCTGCTCAGGATCAGCAAGTTAGCCATCAGGTAATCATCGAAACTTACTTAACTTCTAGTTCTTAACACTGAAATATTAACTACACTTTGGGAAATGTTGATATATGATATATTTCTTTTTGTTGTGGGGAAAGATAAATTTTGTTCATTTTTGCAAAAGTTGAATTCATTTGAAAGATTGATTCCTCTTGATCTTGCTCTGCGTCGATCCTATTTTAATTGTAGATAGAACAAGTAAATGATGAGGAACAACAAGAACGACAGCAACTTCAGATTCAACATCAGCAGCATCTCATGGAAATTAGAGAAAGGAGTGAGGTCAATTTCCAAGTTTTTTTTAATCATTTGTGTTATCATTAGTTTTCTGGTGTCAGTAAATGATTAACCTAAACAAGATTTGGATCTTTTTGATGCAGTGCTATTATTCATCCCATATAAACATAAATTTTCGATGATATCGAAGGAAGCGCTATAAGTTTGTTTTGAAAGATCATGATCAACTCCGTCTCCTATCTTATAAATTTGCAGATGGAACAGAAGGCATACTGCGTCCAATGTCGTACAGCTTAATTATTTTATAAAATCGAATTTTATAACCTATAAAATTATTGGAAATATTGGAGTTGGTCTTAATTGATAAAAAAATTAAATAAGAAAAATAGTTCTCAACTAAACTTCTTCTGATGATTTTAAACTTCTTTTAATGAGTTTAAATTCAAAAAGCCTAGCACTTTATTTCAAAGTTTTTGCATGCTGTTCACAGGAAATTTAAAATGAATATTTCCATTTAAACATTTCAAAACAAAAATCGATTAGAGAATAATATTATAGTCATTAATACATTTAGGCGATGAGACAGCTTGATCAAGATATCAGTGATGTAACACAGGTGATGAAAGATTTAGCGAGAATTGTACATGATCAGGGTGAAATTGTGGACAGCATTGAAGCAAATGTGGAACATGCATCGATGCAAGTGCAACAGGCCAGTACTTTCATTCTGTGAAGTCTGAAATATGGGACCAATTCCATAGATGGATGATCCAAAATATTATTTTTGATATAATTATGTCTTTACACTTGGAGTATGGGATACAATTTGTTACTTTTTTTTGGTTTGCTTGTTTTTTTTGGTAAAAAGAATTAATCCCTGTTTGCAAATCTATTGTTTTCAGGGTGCAACAGCAGTACAGCGAGCTGTTATATATCAACAAAGGACAAGACAAAAGAAATTTTTTTTATTTATATTTTTCTTTACTCTCATTTTCATCCTCATCCTCATTGCATATTTCTTTACCAAATAAGGTAAATGATTCACTTTGTTCAATTTTAATTTATTTCAAAAGAAATTGCATGCATGGATTTGATATTGAAGTTGTCGGAGGACTGACTAATACAGTACAAATTTATGCACATTTCTCGAGTTTCTTTTGCTTAATCATTTATCGATCTTGCACATAGATGTAGTCGCAAATTAGGAAAAAGTTATTCTCCGAAACGATAGAATGATTTATAGCAATAATTGTAGGCAAGAGGAATAGTAATTCTTCAAAACTTGATCCTATAATATGACGCACAATTTCATATTTGCTTTCAATTAAACCATTTTAATAAAACACTTATGGATTCTTTGGATCTAATTTTTTCGTTTAAAGGATGAAAAAAATAACTAGAATCGTTCAATTGCAATAGTTTCCAAGGAAAGTGAACGTGAAGGAGTTATAAGTCGATCAAAGCAGACATACCATCACCATACTTCGCTATTGGGGACCAATTTTTTATGAATTCTTTCGTGATTTCCTTTTCTTTTTTACCAGATTCCCGTTTGCTTAAGCCATTCCTTTCTGTAGGAATTGCAGGCTTTACACACACATCGCTCCCGGTGCCTTTAGAAAGAGGTGCAAAGAATTATTTTATGTATATAATGGTTTTTTCGAAAAAAAATTTTTCTATTTACTTTCTTTATCTCAACAATAAATCCAACAACACTGGTAGAATAAACTCAACTGAAAATAATGGTCAATACAACGAGGAATAGAAAGCACTACAATAACCGGGATTTACTACCAGCTGCAAATCATATAAATTTTATAGAAACACAACTGGAGATGGAGAAAATAAACGATGCGCATGTAGCTTTCGGCCGCATAAGGGAAATGTGAACAAAATTTTTCGGGGAGTTTTAAAAAGCATTACAGAAATGCGTGATCATAAATTTGACAACAAAGTTAAACTTCCCACTCCGACTTAGATACATTGACAAGCCTTGTCTATTATAGACTTTTGAAGCTTTATAATATCTGTCCGAAGGAAACCGTAACGTAACATTTCAAAGGATTTTGTTATTTTAAAAATATTTCAAGAAAAGTTATAGCTAAATGCGACAGCAAAGACTGGCATGACAAGTTCCTGTCCCAAATTGTAATACCGAATAAAACAACAATGAATAAAAGTCATTAACAAGAATCCTAAAAAAATTTAACTTCTGAAAGTTGAATTAACTCTCATAACAGCAGAACGGAAATATAACATTTCTGATGGCATGATTCAATCTCTTTAACTTCCACAACTATAAGATATTTGAAAAGAATAACGTTATCTTCATATCACTGTGAGATATCTGTTCACTTTTGGCCTATCAGATGATGAAGTACTAAACTCTCACAGTTTCGTGATTTCTTAACAATAAGATAACGATTTCACAATATTAAAAAAATATAAAATGTGTAAACATCTTAACATCTAGTCTACGTATTAACTAAAATTAGAAAAATTTCTGAACTAATATTACAACAATTTAGAAAAAACTACAAACTTTAGCTATGCAAATCTTGGTGTGTGTATAGCACAGGCCTCCCAAAGTTTCTTTTCTGTATCTTGATCCAAAACACTTGGTACCTGCTTCATTAGCGCTAGGAGTGGTGCCAATAAGCTGAACAGTGTATCCATCAATAAATCCAATGATCCATCCACTGTACCCGATTCTTCAGTTCTATACGTTAAATTAAAACATGTTAAATCATTTCATTTCAATAAATCATCTGTTTATTTGTCAAATGCAATTAAATAATAATTGAGCTTCCACAATAAAATGCAACAGTGAAAAAACTTGGATAAAAATTGAAGTACGAGAATACTATCATATTGACTGATATTTTTGAATAATAACATACCGTGTATTAGCTGCTAAAATCATTGATTTCGATACTATAATGCATGCGGCGGCTGCATCTAATGGATCAGTTAAGAATTCTCTCTCTGGAGATAGTCCACTTTCTCTTTTTTCATTTGTCCACCATCGTACCCGCCGTTCCATACAACTTTTCAGCTGCATAACCCCCGCGGATCGAGCTCGATTACCTAAATAATTCTAGAATTTTCAAACAAAAACATTGTCTTGATAAATAACAGTGAGGCTCTGCACGACTTTATCTACACCTATTTAACAACCCTCTTAAAATTTGTTTTCATGAAGCAAAAATATCTTAGGATTGGAGTAATGAAATCGATTTAACATTGGTATAAATACCTGATTGCCTTGTGTTTTTCCTCGCAGTTTTTCTCATTGCTTCACTCTGAAAATAATGAAGCATATAAGTGCATTTCATCAGAAAAGAAACTCTATGATCGAAAACAAAATAAAGTTTTCATTCACTACGCTTACGAAATTTTGTGACTTAACCAGGCTGAAGTTTCAAAACTGGAATGAGATGAAAACAACCTGTTCATCCTCATTTTCGCTAACTGATGGTGATTTCCTTCGAATTTTGATAAGATCTTTCCATCTTCCTTTCTTGCCCAAATCCTAAAACAAACACAATTTATATTATCCGTATCAATAAATCAAATTTGAAATTTCCAAGTTTAATACCTTAGGTATTTCTTCATGACTCCTGACCCAACCATACCATTTTCGGCACTTCTTATCGACGCAACGCCATCTAAAAAAAAAAGGTAAAGAAAATAATGTTAAAATCAAATGTTCTGATGATGCAATAACTAATTAAGCCTGAATTAATTATAATTTTTGCTCGTCCACAGTTTTGTTTACCCACTGCAGCGAAAACAAAGTACAGAGCATCTCAATTCTGTTAAAAAATAGTGACGTAAATTAGAGGATTTTTTAACTGTTATGAAAAATTACCTATGTCTATTACCGCCGCACATTTGTGGCCGTACTTGTCCGTTACAGTGAAAACAGTGCCTACAACCATCTTCAGCCACTAAGGGTGTTTTTTCCACTTTGCTATAAGAAAAAAAAAATGAAAACGAAAAAATTAGTTATTAAAATGAAACAATTTTTTTGAAAATCTTTTTTTACTTGATAAGATAATGATAAAAGATTAAAAATCGTTCTGAAATTGCAACAAATCTCAGAAAGCGCTTGCTTGCTACTGATTAAACAGATCATTAAATCTGCAAAAAAAAACCAAGAACATAATAAAAATCAAGTGATCTGAAGACTAAATGAATAAAACAGATGAATAAATTTTACTGACATGAAATGATTTGAAAACTAACTAGAATTTCGGACGGCCATTTCCGGTTCTTCTTGAAGAAATATTCTGGCTATTTGAAAGTGATTCATTATGACTCTGGAAGGAAAGTGAAGACTGTATTGAAGCTGGAAATACACCTTTCTGCGCAGTTTTTTGAATTTGATGGGCATCGTTTTCATGTTTTGTTATAGATGGCAGTGATGTTTGAGCAAAAATATTAGAAAACGAATCTGGTGAAAAGCGATCAGATATGACATTTGAAATGATCGGGTCATGAATACTGTCTAAAGTGCTATCACGTGATTTAGCAGTCGGAGAAACATTCAATGTTACAAGATCCGTTTTAACATCCTCAGAATTTTCTTTCTGAAAAAAATAACCAAATATAATTTGATCATACTAATATACTCATTAAGTAAAATCATAGGCGATAAATATCAGAAAGCCATGACAGACCAACAAAGGAGAGAAACCTTGAAAATAGAATGAACTGCAATTTGTATGAAGCCGAAAATTTTCAAATTCTGGAAAATCAAAGAAATAAAAGAAGATACTAACCATAAAACATGGCAACTGATTATTTAATTCAGAAATTAATGGTTCATGAATTTCGTTCCATTTCAAACAATTCGTGTTCCCACATCTAAAGAATTAGGTAATATAAAAAGTCCAAAACTTTCTACTTTAACACTCTCCAGGTTTTTTTTTTTAATTAAAGCAAAAACAAACCTCCATTTTAGACCGTACAAAATGCAATGGCAACCACAACTTGAACAATTCTTTTGGAAGAGATTTTGATGAAATTCGAAGTTTTGTTCATCAAAACCTGCCAGTGGATGATCATCAGGTGAGCCCAGGATATCATTAAACGACAACGGTGATAATGGATCTGTAGAGTTGAAGAGTGGTGATGATCCGAATAAATCATCGAAACCATCTGACATACCCGAACATAATCTGGAAAGACGAATGAAAATATTTCGCAATATATCAAATCACAGGTAGAAGAAGGAACGAAATTTATAAGAATGAAACAACTCTTGCAAACTAAAACTTTTTTCATGAGAAATGTGAAGCATGTACATAAATGCAATGCCTTCTGGAATATGAATGCTTAGTTCAGAAAATACCACTATAAATATGACAACACTACGGATTCAAATAAACCTTGTACGTCCTGAAGATGAACTATTGAAGCGTTCACGTAGCTTTCCAGATGACAAATAATCTCCAACAACAGACTTGGAACATTTCACACCACTTTTCACTGATGCCCTCGAAATTTCATCGATGTCTGTACCAATCCCATCGAGTAGAAAATTACAACCACCATCGGTTAAAATCGGTAACATCGGATCCTGAAAAAGGAATGTTAAACAAGCAGTTGATATGAATCTGAAGTTCGACTAATCTTTTCTTTTTCAAATCAATTTAACATTCTAAAATATCATGCACTAAAGCAGGAGGTAAAAATTTACTTCGCCCAGGTCTACATCAAATGATTGTGAAATCGAATTCGTTTTATTACGGCTTGAGATGGACGTAAAACTTCCCAGACGTCTCCGTTCATTTCTTATTTCAGTGTTGTCTTTAACTGAAATGAAATAAATTTTTAAATTATCTGACATAATTTAAGAGTTCCGAAAATAAACAATCCCAATGCTTCAGAAATATTCATCACGGAAGATTACTTGGTGAAAGAGATGGCGTCCGCATTCTGGTTGGAAAAGGTGAAGATGTAGTTGGACTTGATAAAAGATTTTCCAACAAGTTCTCGCTGGTATCCGATCGATTCGATTTCCTACGACATCTGCTTACACCATTAACTCTAGCACCTAAAAAGATACTTCATGCTATTCAAATTCTCCAACGATTTAAAGCCATACTTGCGTTGCAAAGCATTTTAAAATGTCACGGTCTCTGATATAGTTTAAGCATCGCTAAAGCTTTGCGTGATACTGATCCAAATACTCCCACACTTAAACATCTTTAACATTGCATATAATGAAATATAGGAAATAAACTGGCCATCTGTTCATTTCTACAAAAGAGACAAGCAAAACCTGATAAAAAGTTAGCGTTAGATGATTCTGGAGATTTCTCGAGGAAAGACGATAAACATATTTCTGGAGTTTTTGGTGTCGTCAAACTGGGTTCCTTACAACCAGCAGCTTCGCGTGCTTCTTGCAGAGCTTCAGTAAAACCCTTGAATAGTAATTTTATTAACGCTATGAAACTGAAATTTTCTCAAAATATCATTTTTTTTTAAAAGGAAGTTGAACAATTCCGAACACACACATTACAATAAAAAATCCAATGATTACCTTAATTTTTCGCTGCACCTCATATTCACTACGATAAGCATGGTAGTCAAACAAATCACTTTTCTTCATTATAGCTGTTTCATGCGTACCGTAAAACAACACTGAGTAACGACCAGCAGGTATACCTTCCATTTTCTCTGATGGTTGCATTATCTGTAATAACACATTAATCTTTACATTTAAAACAATCACTAAAACACTAATCAAAATCTAACAAGTAAATTTTCGGATGAAATCAATCAAATATTAATTTAATAAATGCTTCTAAACTCAAACTCACCATTGCTGGCCACGGTGGGAATCCTTTCATTTTAGCCCATACAATAGCACCTGATTCAAAGTCCTTATCCATTACTGCCTGAAAAAAAATTTCAACAGTACCACTGATTACATCTCTGATATAAATATGAATATTACATGTATCATATTCATATTCAATAAGTCATACCAGTAAGCTATGTCAGTAAGTGTCTATAATTCACACGAAACATATGAATAGTAATTAATGTTTGTCGGTACAAAGATAATGTCAGATAATATATACGTATGTGTGTGTCTGGCTGTGAGTGGGCGTATGATGTGTGTGTGTGTGTGTGTGTGTGTGTGTGTGTGTGT